TATATATATATATATGTGTGTGTGTGTGTGTGTTTATGTTTGACTGCAATATATATATATATATCTAGCCATCCAATTTCGAATCCGCTTATCCTCACAAGAGTATAAATGTATGTTTGTTTCTATCTATCCATCTGTGTGTGTGTGTGTGTGTGAATTTATAAAGTGATCATAAGGTATCCAACATGTCAATTGTTTTTCAAATTCTAAGTATCGAATTATGACGTCTTCGCAAATGTTAATTAAGGCAAATGTGTGATTAAAGCTCATGAAATGGAATGAGTTTTTTTTTTTTTTTAATTTGGGGCTGGGGTGTATGAACTCCTGTAAGTGTTTGTTTCCCCCCAAAAAAATCTCGCAATGCGAAATCTGGCATGCAGACGCATTTCACGTTTTGAAAAAAACGTGAAATGCGTTAAAAAATATAGATTTATATCGAGACGATTTTTGTCGAGGTGACTTTTAATTCAAAAAAGAGAGACCACTTCATGAGGTTGAAGCTAAAAAAATGTCAACATTTATCAGCAATAAATAATAAAAAGCAACTCATTTGCACATTTGACTTGGCGCACAAGTAAATGCGCCAAGTTGGAGCGATTGCTTTCTTTCTTTCTTTTCCCCCTGCAATTTCTTTTTTTTTTTTTTTTTGCTGCTCGTTTTAGGTTGCACTCGAATAAAAATACGACTGCGCATTTTTGATCTCTCGACGACAGTTGTTCCCTCAACAAATATCGGCTTCTTCCGTGAGAGCCAGGGCCGTGATTCGGCTCGAAGAAAGTCACTTGTCTTTGCCCCCCACTCCCCTTTGCCCCCCTTCGAATTAGTAACGTTGCAGTTCAAAATGTTGATGCCGGTCTACAAAGAAGAAAAACGCGAATTCTGCTCTTCCTCTTTGGGTCCGCTAGACAGCTGCTCGTCGGAACCACGCGCACGCGCAGGCTGGATCGCGCGTGACACTGTGCGTCCAGACGAGGAGAGCAAAACAATTCTTTTTTGCTCCAAGAAGGCTTTCAGCAATTTTTAAACGCCATCCAAAAGCCGCAAAAGCAGCATTTGCTGACAAATGCTGAATGACTTTTCATCTGCTGCGAGGACAATTTGTTGTTTTTTTTGTTTTGTTTTTTTTTTGCATTTGTCAGCCGCCCCCAAAATGAATCTTTGCCACATTTGGAGTTTCTTTTGGCAAGAAATTTAACATGCGAACTACACATGAAAACAACAACAAAAAAAGAATTACTTTCACAGGAGGAAAAAAAAAAGAAAGACTTGATGGGTGCCCCCAAAATCACTTTGCCAATTTTCAAATTTACTTTCCCGCGTTTGTATTTTTTCTTTCCGATTTCGTCAACGCTTCAAATTTAAATTCACATGCACGGACAGCCTTCATTTTATTTCATTTGAACTTTTTTTTTTTTCGCTACCAGCGAAAGGAAACAAAATAACAAAGCAAAGTGAGCATTTGAAGTTTGCGTTTCCGAACGAGCTAAATCAGAGACATTGAGAGAATGTTTTTTTTTTTCAAATAAGTGTTTCGGAGTAAAGAAGGGCATAACAATTCCAGAAGAAGAAACTAAATCTATTGGATTTTATTTCCAAGCTCAGAACAAACTATGTTGACAGCAATAACAATATGAATTTATTAACAAAATAAAAATAAGAGCACACTTCGATTTTTTTTTTTTTACATAAAGAAATCATTTCTGCCATACACAAAAGGCAAACAAGAACACTCTCCTCGTTCTTGTTCATTTTTATTTGATTTATGTTGAGAAATATGCTGCCATGCGCACGCACGCACACTGCTACTGCGCGTGCACGTTGTCCCACAAAACTAAACCGGAAGCCGCGTGACACACTTTGATGTGCTGCTAACCTACATACGCCGACGCGCATTATTTCTTGCTAAAAGCTCAAAACGTGCTCGTGCACGTCCGCACCAAAAAGAAAAAGGGGAAAGAAAAAAAAAAGAACAGAAAATGGTTGCAAGGTCAGCGAGCTTTTATTTCGTCAAGTGGACGGCAATAAATTTTACCCTCGACGCTCTTTTTCTTGCGTTGAGGTCAAAGCGACACAAGCAAAAAAAAAAAGGAAAGAAAAGAAGAGGACATTCAAAAACACGCGCTGAATATTTTGGGGGGGGTCCAGAAGACGAGCAAACATGTTGTTGGCAACAACCAAAAGGACGAAAAGAAGGACAAGCGGCTTCGGGCGAGTCTGTCAACTTGTTTCTGGCTGCTCACCGGGACGTGCGGGAAGAAGTAGCTGGTCTGGCCGGCCAGCAGGTTGACCGAGCACGGGTTGAGCGAGTACGTGGTGCCGGAGCAGGGCACCGACAGGCCGCAGGGCACCGCCGAGGCCGCCAGCGCCGCCGCCGTCAGATGGTGCGTAGCGTACGGCAGCTCTCCGCCGACCAGCCGCTCCATGCTCAGGCCGTTGGACGGCGGCGAGAACGGGTGCCCGGCGCCGTGGACGTTCTGGCCCAGCACGGCCCAAAAAAAAAAAAAAGACAAAAAAAAAACTGCGTCACGTTTAATACTGAAACATGTTCAAGTGTAAATTTGGACAAACGAAAAAAAGAAAACATTCGAGCTAACATTCTAGTCGCCGTGACACGCGCACGCGCTAAATACACACAAGTCCAGAACACCAACAATAATATCAATAATAATAATAATAATAATAATAATATTAAAAAAATACCTGGAAACTTCCCGGTTGTCTTTTTTTTTCTTCTCCTTCTTCTTCCTTGTTCTAAACTTTAAATTCTTTGTGTCAAATGTTCCGCTGAACAGTAGCGGAGTGTCGGTTCCGTCGCCGGTTCCGTTAGTGGATGAGCGGGTTGGATGCGGAGGCCTGGTTCTGGTGCGTGAAATAGTCAGAGAGGCCGGCGGACAGTCCGGATGGGAAGGCCGGCAGAGAGGAGCCCATGGGCGCCCTCAGGGAGTCACACGAGCCGGCCTGCGGGGAGCCAGAGGCCGGGGCCCGGACGGCCTGGCCGCCTCCGCCGCCTCCTCCGGCCGCGGCGCCGCC